ACAGGCAGGGCTGCTCGGAGTCAGGGTTGACTTGACAGTAGTGAACAACAGTCATAAGGCTGGGGAAGACTTTCAACAGGAACTTCTGCTTTCATGTGATCAAGAAGATGCGGGAGCAGGGCAGGTGAAGGGTCAAGTCTTGCTTTTCCTGAGGAGCAGAACTGTTGTCATTGTGCGGTGTAATCCACGGGCAGCTTTACTTATTGCATGGCTAGGCAATGTGTGAGGTCCTCTGCGCCCATGGCCGCTAGCCTTGGCCTTGCTCCGTTTCTTGGCATTGTTTGGCTTTTGCTTGGCCCAAGCTCCAGGCTGCCTGTCATCACTCACATTTAGGCCTCCGCCCGGCATAGGGAGTATTATACTCAGGTGAGAGCTTCCCCATCTGCCTACTCATTTCCTTCGTTAGTGCTGGAGGAAGGCCAGATCAGGGGCAATGGACCTCTCTTCCTTGAGGCTTGGATGTGGGAGGGGTGGAAAGGAACGCACATTGTGTCTTGCTGCTCCCTAAAATAAAGACGGCATCATCCCAACCCAATGCACTGCCACTGAGTCGATCACAACTCATAGCGACCCTATGGGACAGGGTAGAATGGCCTATGTGACTTTCCAAGAGTATAATGGTGTACAGGAGTAGAAAGTCCTGTCTTTCTTCAGAGGATGGGCTGGTGGTTTTGAACTGCTGACCTGGCGGATCGCAGCTGAACTCATAACCGCTATGCCACCAAGGCTCCTGGGAAGATGGCACAGGACGGAGAAGTACGTCGCTCCGTTCTACATAAGGTTGCTGTGAGCTGGAGTCAACTCAATGGCAACCAACAAGAAGAGCAGAACTTCGTACGCTCCAAGAAAGAGGACATTGGAGAGCCACCTTTCACCCCTGATAGAAATATAACGGATTCTAGAATGCATGTGGCTACATACAAGGGGGTTCCCAATGGATGCAGGAAAATGGAATGAAACGATAATAGGATAATTCCCATAAACCTCCTGAAGCTCCCTGCATTTCTCTTCTATCAAGATCCTGCTATCTGGAGTCCAGGCAGGGCTGTGGGAAATCCCATCCCGCTGGATGTCAGTGTCGGGGAGCATGCCCCTATCTTCAGATCAGAGGCACCAGGACTTTCCCGTGCATGCAGTCTCCAGCCAACTACCTCTGGGAAGTTCTATAAAATCAGGGGAGATGACACTATTCTACTCACAGCCCACGGGAGCCAAACACACACACCTCTCACCTGAATGCTCCTGAGGCTACAGAGAGCTGGCTGACAAGAAGCTACATTTTTGCACCGAGGCCCGCCCCCCCAGACAGGTCTGCAGCTGCTGTCTTGTTGGCCTTCCTAGGCACCGGGCAATTTGGCGAAGGCAGTGAGGTTGTCAGGCTCAGAGGCTCCTGGACACTCTCCCAATTCCTGACCTGTTCCTGGCCAGAATCTTGTCAAAGTCTGTTCAATTTCTGGACTGCTCTTACTTCTGCAATTCCTCACGCCCTGAAAACCGGAGGGATGCTGTCTCCAAGAACCTCTCTTTTTATTAGCAATGCCCCCCACTGCTCAACTCCAGCCCTTTGACCATCTCAGGAGCATTCAGGCTGTTCCACTGACGGCTCTAATTGTCTGCCACGGGTTGCTTAGCAAACGAATCCCATTTTTAGCTGGTTCCAACCACAGTGCTAAAAAGGTTTGCAAGCGGAAAACTAATTTATGAAAATAATCCTTTTGTTCAATTCCGCTTTCTTATCTTTCTCAGACCATGCTTTCTTTAAGCCCTTTCCAGACACTATGTTACAATCAATGATGTGTGTTGATGACCACAAGGTCCCCAGGACTCGTGACGAGAAGATGAAATTGAGACTGCGTCCCACGATTTTCCTTTCTTTCTTTTCTTATGCGGCCGCGATTTCTGTGCAATCTTTCCTGGAGCACCAGACCCTGCGAAGTGCTGTAGAAATACAATGGGCTGGGTTGCCTACCGTTTCTACCCTGTATTTTTCCAATTCTTGGTTGCTGCTGGTTTCCTATCATTTCCAGACAGTCAATTTGCAGAGACGCTTCAGTGATGGCATGCTATCCGTTCATCTCTATTTATGATTATTGACGTGTAACAATTATCACATTATCTGGATAGGGAGATCTGCTCCATAAATTATAGTGGTGGAGTCAAGGCATTTTAATTATTTTTCTGTGCCACTATCACAGGGAAACGCCTACTAAGAAATCTTGAATTACGTTCTTTTTAACTCCTAGCTTTGTCCTTCATTAGTTGCCAGATGATAAGGCCCCAAAAGGCACATACTTGCCGAACCCTAGCCTGTGTCACACAGCAACACGTGCCTCTGCATTTTGCTGACCCCGGGGAGAGGGTTGACTCACTTGGGTGGAGCTATTTATTGCCCTTGATGCCGCCTCTTCTAAAGGAAGCTTCTTTCTTTAAAAGTCTCTGTGGTGGTACCCGTGGGAGAAAGATGGGGCTTTCTACTCCTTTACAAAGTTAGTCTATATGAAACCCAGGCTTGATGCGGCCACTGGGACAGCAAGTAGAATAAGGGTTTCTGGGGGTATGGTGATGGTGGCGGGGTGTAAAAGGGAGCTAACTTCAAGGAGTTCAAGAAGGAAAAGAATGTTTTGAAATGGATTGTGGTAACCATTGTATAATACTGCTTGAAGTGATCAAAATATGGAATGGTATGATATCTGTATTAAGTCCCAATAAAATAGTTTTTTTTGGGAAACAAGAGTTACAGTCCTGGAAGCCCGCAGGGGCATTTATACCTTGTCCTTTAGGGCTGCCGTGAGTTGGCGTAGGCTCCACGGCCACGTTTGTTTTCCAGCTGGGGCTGGTACAAGCCAGTTGCCATCAAGTCAATGTTGCTCCTGGCAGCCTGCTGTGAGCCAGAGTCGAATAGATCCGTGCTGCACAGACTTTTAAGAGCCCGACTTTTTGGAAGCAGATTGCCAGACTTTTCTTCCTAGGCGCTCCTGGGTGTGTGCCACCTGCCGACCTTCTGACTAGAGTCAAGTGCTTAGCCAATGGCACCACGCAGGGACCCTGGGGCTGGTTCCAACCATCAAACAGTCTAAGGTTACTCCCAGCTCTCCTACATCTTGGTGGAGATCAAAGTGTCCTTAGAAGTGGTAACCATTGGTGAGGAGGATGAGATTAAATTATAACAGATAGGAGAAGGAGCAATCAAAATGGAATACATCAGGAAATGATTGGATTTTGGGGAGGAATGATGACATGTTCAGCAGAAAACTGACTGAAATGGGTCATGGGCCTTTTGAGCTTCATTTGCAGTAGAAGCAAACTGTTATGGTTTGAATTTTGTTCCCCTGAGAAAAGGTATGCGGAAGACTTAGCTCGTGACCTGCTTCTTAAATAAGTGTTTTCTTTTGTAATGTAAATGTGGCCATACTGGAGTATGGTGGGTCCTAAACCTGATTCCTTTTCTTATAAAGTCAGCACAAGGGACACAGACATACATGGGGAAACACAGACACCCTATGGAGACACTGAAGAAAGCCAAGAGTTTTGTGTCAGCAGCATACTTTTTGATTTGCTCCGGGGTTACAGATGTACAGTGTAGTACGATGGGGGTTTTTCAGTGAGAGCAAGGGGGCCAGGAACCACCCACTCAAGTTCCTATGTCCTCAGGCATGACGAAGACCCCCCGCCCAGTGTTCCATATAGAGGATGGAAACAGTGCTACGGCTGGGCTGGGGTATTCCTACGTAGACCATGCCCACCACGTATGAAGGCAGACTTACAGCAGCAGATACCATGGCCATCTGGACCAGGAGGAACCCAGAGAAATCATCAATACACAAATAGGAAGACCTCTTTTTTTTCTAATTCCTCCCTCTGCCCTCAAAATCAGAAGCATTGCTCAGAAGAGTTAAGAGGCTGGAAGGGAATCTTTCACAACCAAACGTCCCCCTTCCCCTCTTCTCCAGGGGCACAGTTCTAACTTGTCCTAGGAGGAAGGGTGGGATCATACGGACTATAAAATAAAACCCAAATTTGATTCTAGAATATTCTTGTCTCAGATTGGTGACCCTAAGCACATTTGCTCTGTAGAACCACCCTGCCACCACTTTGGAAATAAGGGTGAAATGTACCAGCACAATTGTGTTTCGTATATAGTTGTGCATTAGTATAGATGCAGTTGCCCCGTGGGTTTGCTGTGAGGTTGGAGATACCCGATACTGAGTGTCTGGCTCCCTATGTTATTAGTTATTAGCTGCCGCTGACTCCAGGCAACACCATATTTATCAGAAGGAAACACTGTCCCCTTCCAGGCCAGGTGCATGAGATGCTCGGCCCACTGTCGTACAGACTGCAGATGCAAAGTGACTTTCAACCCTGGACGATCCTCTTTCAGCACCTGTGGGACATGATTCTGTTGTGAGTCACAGGGTTTTCATTGGCTAATTTCCACAAGTAGCTTCCCAGTCTTTTTCTCAGTCTGTGTTCACCTAGACGTACCACTGAAGCCTGTCCCACTGTAGGTAGCCCTGCTGGTTTTTAAAACACTCATAGCCTCAGTTCCAGCATCACAGTGACATGCAAACAACCAGAGAACAACACAAGGACCTATAGATGGTGGCTAGTTTATGGTGGATGTTCCAAAAATTCTGGCAATGGCACCCTCTTGGTGCTTAGATACGGAATGATATGCTATCAAGTTAATAACGGCATTCGCTAACACACTTTTGAATGAAAGGTTTCATCAGTGATCTTGTGAAAGCCACTATCAGAGGTATGATCAAGGAGGATTTAAAAATAATAACAATCATGTCACAAAAAATGAGACCTTACAAAATCATCTAAAACTCAGGGGACCAGCAGGGGACTCAGCAGGTTCTAGGTTGAAGATGGTCAGACCCCCAGAGAGCAGGACACCAGTCTGGGTTCCCGTCCAAGTGTGGAAAGGGCCCCCAGGGAGTCATGGTAGGGGGCTCCACGTTTCCAGGCCCCCTGGGTCCTGGGGACCCCAGGGTCAGCGCTTCTTGTTCTGATAAAAATACCCCAGATGATCGCACAGCCCGCAGCTAGGAGGGCACGTACCTGCTGTTGAAGGGGTTGTCCCCAGGAATGATGTGGGTGCTGTCCTTGCCTGCCAAAAGCTTGATGCGGTCGTAGAAGGACTTCACCACTGGCGAGTCTGTCTGGCCCTGCTGGATGATGTCCAGGGGGTCTCGGGAGCCCCGGCAGAGCAGGCTGTTCTGACAGGCTGACTGCAGGCAGCAGTCGGGGTCCAGGCAGTCCACCAGGCCGTCTGTGGGCAGAGGCAGGGCAGGGTCAGGGAGAGTGATGGGAGAAAGCTGCTTGGATATGCCAGATCCCATTGTCTCCAGCACCAAGCCTTCCTGAGGGCCTTGTCGCCTGGCACCTCTCACACACCAAGCAGGCTCTCATTGCAATCCGTAGCCATTGTGCCAATTCTGGCTCATAGGGACCCTGTAGGACAAGGTAGAACTGGCCAACCCTGTGGGTTTCAGAGACTGGAACTTTATGGGAGTAGAAAGCCTCGTCTTTGTCCCGAGGAGCTGTCTGGTGGTTTTGAACAGCTGATTTTGTGGTTAGCACTCAATGCATAACTACTATGTCACCTGAGAAGAAATCATTAAGAATCCCGGCAAAGGTTTATTCCTGGGTACTTGATGAATTGAGCTCTTAGTTTTCTTTATCATTAATTCCCTAGACTTCCCACTGTGTCTATAAGCTAGTATTATTTGTGTTTGTAAAACAAAGAAATAAACCAAACTTTACTTTTAAACCATACAGCACAATATAGATTTTGTGTTTTGCCGCATCGCAGGGCCATAACTAATCAAAAGGCATAGGATTCTTAAAGGAGAAAATAACTTCATCTCTGCTCCCTTTGAACCAGCGGGGACTGTGAATTCCATATTCTCCAAGAAATGTGGAGAACTATCTTTCGCTTGGGTAAGCAGACATTAAGCCATCAGCCCCCTCAACTGCATATGCACATGTTTTCTCACATGCATCCAGGCCAATGACCACCATGGTTCACCTGCCCAGATTTCTGCCTCTGATCCAAGTTCCTGAGCTGGGTCCTAGTTATTCATCATCATTCAACAGCTCTTTGCTGAGAGCCACCCATGTGCTGGAAGGCCAACAGCGGCAGAGCACAGGGTACCTACGCTTCAGGGACTGACTCAGGTGGAGAAGAGAGTCTTGTCTCTTTGTCTAGATGTGGCCTCCTCCCCAGGAACCCTTCCTCGTAGTTCCCCGGATTCAGTTCGGCATTCCTGTTTGGAATACCAGTCCTGCATCAGTGATTCCCAAAGAATGCTTCTGCACCAGATTTCTGTGAGGAGCACTGAGGGCCCACTGTGACCCCCGATGCCATAGACAGCCTCCGGGAGCAGGCCATGCAATGGTCATGGTCAACATGCTTTTGAGGAGATTCCAGCCCATGACCGATTTAAGAAACTCTGGTTAGTGCTAAGTTTCTAAGTTTCTTGTATGGGAATTAATGATCTCTTTCTGCTTGCCTTCCTGTCTGGAAAATGAGCTCTTGGAGTACGAAGAACGTTGTTTTATTCATTTCTATCTTGATGTCTAGCTCTGCGCCAAGCATGGAATTGGGCAATCAACAAATAGTTGATGAACGATTAAATGACTGTTTCCTGTTCGTCACAGGCTCCTAAGGGCGGAGAATGGGAAAACCAGGGCAGTCTTGTCTCCTTGGAATCTCCTCTTGGAATGGACTGGTTGGCTAACTCTCATTCACTCTGCTGGGAATTGGCTGGACACACTATTGGGAACTTGGAGAATAACTTGCTTAGTCTCCCAAATTTGATGGCAAGGCACTTTGGGTGTGGTTGCTGTAGGAGAGGGGACATAATTAGTGTTATAGAAACTTGCACTCAGACTCCAGGCAAGGACTTGATAAACACATGTTCTGCAAAGCTGAATTGGGACCTTACCTGAGTGTTTTAAATATATTACCATGTGGTTTTTGGGCACTGCCCTTTCATTTGGTTCCGCAAATGAAATTGAAATATGTAATTTTGGCAAAGTTCCACTGTAATTTAGCAATTAATGTACAATTATTTTAATGCATTACTTCCTTCTTAGCAAGCAAACAAATTAGGAGGTTGCATGTCATGCCTGGCTGTAAATTATGAAAACTAGCCTCTCATTTTCCACATGGGCAAATGTTGCTTTGGCGGCTCCGAACGCATTTAGATTTACAAAATTTCCTAGAATTGCAGACACAGGAGGGTGAGCAGGCACACACACACTTTAGAGACTTTTGAATTCAGAACTCTGAACATCTCAGACGGATGCGCTGCTTGGATTAGATGCTCCCCTGCACCCAGCAGCTCTCAGGCAGTGACACAGCTGGAGAAGTGCCTTCTATGGCCGAGTAATCCAGGGCATCACTTCAAGCCCATGCTCCGGCCATCAGGGGGATCCGAGTGGTGCCAGATTACCCAAGACACAAGGCAAGCCCGGACTGACTTACCCATCTATAGTTGAACCGTTTTACATTTTCTCTCCCACCACATCAAGGGTTCTGCTTCTATATCGGCTGGCATCTGTCCCTGTCTCCCCATCCCACAAAACCTTCCCACAGAATCATATATACAATCCCTGACAGGGATGTAGTCTTGAGTAAACAAGGTAAGCACGGGCTGCCTTGTGCTTACGGATTCATCTTTAGCTACGATTTCACACGCTTGGATGTGGTGACAAGCATGTGACATTGTTCACTACAGATGAGCCAGTAAGCACAAGTCAGCCCGAGCAATTGGGCGGCCTTCCCTTGTATCCAAGGGCCGTGGGGAGATAAGACAAAGGAAATCAAAGGACAAGCAGCACAGCGCTCTGTCTTTAACTCCACATTCCACAGACTGCCTTCAGGAGACAGAGCAATCTACAACCCGAGGCCGGCTCTGGATTTAAAAAGGACCCGCTGCGCTATGCTGGCAGTGCGCCATTCAGCTGCTACAGAAACTTCCTGGGTGCGAAGGCACCCACTGTCGTTAGCACCAGAGAGTTCTGGAAGGTCAGCGCTCTCTTCCCATTAGGAGTGCCGATCCTCTCTGGTGGCCTTTCCCTTCGGAAGCTGGAATGGCTCCCACCCCCACCTCCCAAACACTGCCCACCTGTTCTACATAACCAGCCGGCGGACCCAAGTATAACGTCACAGCAACAGACACACATCTGCCTTCTCCACCGGCCTTGCTGCCGGCCATGGTTCCTGGGTTTGGGACTGTCCCCACACTGTGAACCTGAAACTATCCCTCTGCTTTGTTGAGTCCAAGCTTCCTGTCTGCCAGGAGAGGTCCTAATGACAGACCCGCCACGGCAGAAGACAAAAGCAAAATGAGACAGAAAACAGAAAAGCTGTACACCCTCTCCTTCATTTCCTGCATATTTACATTCGCCTCTTGTTGAGACCGGGCATTTGGGGTTTTACCCGTTATTAAGTGTGAGGGTACGTTTTGTCTGTAATGACCTCATCATGCCGCGTGATTATGGGCTGCCGTCGCCGAGCACTTTCCAACGACACCGTGAACTTTAAATTGGCACTCCAATCTCCCGCGGCCTGTCAGTCACGGGAAGCGCATCTTTATGCCAGCAAGCCCCTTGGATGGAGTCTGACATTGCAATCTTCAGTAAATTACCCTGTCACTGACAATCTTGCAGTGATCGCGCAAACAATCAAGCAGGCAATCAAACTGTTCTGAATTGCCAGTTCAGGACCTGAGAGGCTGCAGACGCCCCGTTCAACGGTGGCGGGAAAGCTGCCCGGCCCTTCTCTGACACTGGAGGATTTCTTTCTTTATTTATCTACCTGCTTATTTGTTTGTCTGGCTGGCTTTTTCCTGGCAAGGGCGCTTAGGGTGGTGAGAGAGGTTTGTGGAGTTCCCGGAAAGGTCCCGGTTCTGACTCAGCTGTCATGGGAAAGAGACCAGGGCCTTCCCGACCCAGGCCGAGTGGGTGGCACAGGTCTGCCCAATGTGTCCTCATTGCCATCACTGTGAGACGCGGCCAAGGAGAATTACCAAGGTGCTTCTGTCAGGGCGGAAGCTAAGTGACGGCTCTGGCCAAGTACACCAGATGCTAATTTCATGGCAATTGAAGAGAGACAGAGGCTTACAGGAACTTTCTGGAATAAAAAGAGTGGCTTTAAAAAAAAAAAGAAAAGAAAAGAAGCAAGAATTGCCCAGCGTAGCTCTGGCAATGTGGACTCGAAATCAGGTTAATGGTAAATTGAATCCACTGGATCGAAACCACAAGGTAAAGGGCCAAAAATGAAAAGAAAAAAAAAAGGCATTGGAGGCTAAGAGGCTGGCTCTTCTAAACAGATGGATTTAGGTTTGATTATCTCCACTGGTCCCTAGCTGTGTGAACTTGGAAAGACTAACTAACCTGGCAGAATCTCTGCCTTTAAACGTGAGTGATATCAATGGCTATTACATAGGGGCCTAAAGGAGCTCTGGTGGTGCTGTGGGTTAGGTGTTGCACAGTCAGTAGTTCAAACCCACCAGTAGCTTCATGGGGGAAAGAGGAGGCTCTCTGCTCCCATAAGATTTACAGCCTTGGAACCCCGTGGTAGGGTTGTTATTCAGAACTGACCTGATGGCCCTGGGGTGGCGGTGGGAGAAGAGCCCTGCTGATCTGCTTCGATCCAGATTCCCAAACGCAAACCAAACTCACTGCCATCAAGCTGAGGCCAACCCCTCGTGACCTGTGAGGATCGGGCAGAACTGCTCTTGTGGTGGTAGAGGGCCTCATTTTTCTCCTAATTCCTGCCCGGTGGTTTCAAAGTGCTGACCTTATGATTAGCAGCCCAGTGCATAACCACTATACCACCAGGGTTCCCTATCAAGAATATAGCACAGGGAACCCTATGGACAGCTCTATCTACTCTGTCACATGGGGCCATCCTGAGTTGGAATTGACTGGGGACAAGCGAGTTGGGATATACGACATTGGTCTGTCTAGGGTATGTACTCAATGAGCTGCAGGTACTGCGGCCAGAGCCCCCTTGAAGTTGTCGATGTATAAGGACATGGAAATTGATAAAATTGACATCCACTCACTGGTACGGGCTGTTGGTTGGTTGAGTCTTCGTGAGAATGCTGTGATTTCAGAGAGTGACAGGTTACTAATAGTTAAGAAGAGAGAGTGTGGATTGAGTAGAGCTTGCAATTGCTTGTCCTGACTTCAATCAGCATGACAACCCTACAAAGCAGAATAACGCCATGGCTAAGGCGCAGACTCTAGACACCTCGA